GATCCCTGGATAGGGAAGATCCCCTGGAGGAGGGCATGGTAATCCACTCCAATATTCTTCCCTGGAGAATCTCATGGACAGAAAAGCCTAGCAGGCTACAGTCCACAGAGTTTCAAAGAGTCAGCCACAACTGAAGTGACTTAGCATGCACTCACACACCTATTAAAATCTTCCTTAAATCTGAAAAATTCTGAAAACCTCTGGCTCCAAAGGTTTTGGATTAGGAATTGAAGAACACCTTTCTCCACTTAAATATTAATAGCTGCATAACATTTTTATGTAAGGTTCGATGTTGGACATAATGATCCCTGAGACATTTTCCTTCATTAAGCACAACACTTCCCCTGTTTTAATGGGTAAAAACTAGTGTCTACAGAGGGAGAGCCTCCAAACACACAACTGGTAACTCATAAAGCTCAGGCCATCATTACCAAATCTTGTCTCTGATTCTGGAGAAATTCAGCCAGGGAGTGGCACCTATTCTGTCCTAGCCTGGATCATTTACTTCTACTGTCATAACTCTGAAGTTGGCTTTGGTCCACTTTCTCTCAGAGACTGTGAGAAGCCCCAGCCACATGTATCTTTTGAGAATCTTGGTATATATATTTTTTTAAATGCTAAAATAGAGTTACAAAAATTGTGGTCATGTTTCCATCAAGTGGTTTTTAGTAACAATTTTGCTAACATATGATAAAAGTTATGCACAAAATAATTATAGAATTGTCTTAATAGGTTTATTAATATTATTAAAAATATTAATTGATAGGACATTACAGGCGGTATGTCCAGCAATGAAACACAAGTTTAAAATTGCATAATGAACATGACCCACTTTTAATTCTGTAAATATACCTCCAGGCAATCAAATATATAACCTCATTTGGAAATAACATCTAAAGTCTACAATGAGAAATCCCTGGTGGTCCAATGATTAAGAATCTGCCTGCCGATGCAGGGGAAGTGAATTTGATCCCTGATCCGGGATGATCCCACATGCAGTGGGGCAATTAAGCCTGTGTGCCACAAGTACTGAGCCGGCATGCTCTAGAGCCTGTTCTCCACAACAAGAAGAGCCACTGCAATGAGAAGCCTGTGCACCTCAACTAGAGAGTAGCCCCGGCTCACCACAACTAGAAAGGAGCCAGCATGCAGCAGCAAAGACCCAGCATACCCAAAAATAAATAAATAAATAAAAAGTTTAAAAGTCTACACTGGAGGGCTTTGAAAGGGGTGCCCAGGTCCTGTGTTAGGCTTCCTGGACTGTCCTTGGATTGTTTGCTTTTCTATTTTAATGTGATCTGCCAACTGCAAAGTAATTTCAGTCTCTGAAGCTGCCCAAAGTTGGGTCCTTCAAGCATGGGGTTTCCCTGCATTATGTATTTCTTTTGCTAAATTTATGTTATGTTTTGTTCCGTACATAGTAGCAATCAATAGAAGAGAGCCACACATATCAGAAGCCATGACTCTCCCTCCAGTCAAAAGGCTCTAGAATGCCAGGGACTTTTTTCAGACCCATGCCTAAAGTCTGTTGAAAAGACTCTTCTGAGCCAAGTGCTGCCCGGAAGACTCTCCTCTTACTCAAAACCCTTTTCCTCTTGGGTTGTTTCCTGCCTCTCACAGTAATTGTCTCCCTGACAGAGGAACCACCTGCCCTGTTTCTCTGGGGGCCAACTGACCTGGGGTTTTCTGTTTAACTGCTTCATGCCTGTCCCATTTGGGATATTATTCTCTTTCTGCAGGCAAGGAGACTGAGGTTAAGAGAAATTATGTAGTTTTCCCAAGTCCTAGAAATTCACAAATGGCTAAACAATGATGTCAAAATCCATGCTATGCTAGATAGGCCAGTCTATTCTTTGTTTTACAAAGCATTTGTAACTGATTGTCTATAATCAGTTACAAAATCACCTAACTCTACTATGCTGTGGCCCACATTTCTCTTCCTTAAAGAAATTCATGAAATACTTTGCTAAATGCCTTGGATTCCTTATGAAATATGTGGTAACTCCATTAAAAAAAAGAAATAAAATTAGTTTGTACAGCAAATATTTTTTGATGACCCGCTGTGTGCCAAAACCCTGTGTTATCATGATTATTCCTAATGAATCAGTGTGGGATCCTAGTGATTAGTTCTTCCTCTTTTAGTAATTAAGAAACTATTCTTTGAACATGCTATTCCAGAATCTAGCACAGGATAATCACTGAAGTAACTAAGCTGTAGTTTGCCGAATTCAACTTTTTCACTTTTTTAGAAAATCAAACTATTCATGCATTCCTAGGAAACTTTTTCTTCTCCCTGATACCTTAGAGAGATAACCAAAATGGTTTGGCTCCTAGTTTTAACTTCTTTCCACAGCTGCAATAAATGTAACTGCAGAATACAGTTTATTTGTATTTTCTTTGACTTTTATTTTTAATATAATTACATTAAATTCTTTCAGCTGTTTCTGAGGCACCTATACTCCCTGCCTTCTTCTCCCAGTCTGCCCAAAGGAGTAAAACCTCTCTGACCCTCAGTTCAGTTCAGTTCAGTGGCTCAGTCATGTCCAACTCTTTGCGACCCCAAGAATCGCAGCACGCCAGGCCTCCCTGGCCATCACAAACTCCCGGAGTTTCCTCAAACTCATGTCCATTGAGGCAGTGATGCCATCCAGCCATCTCACCCTCTGTCATCCCCTTCTCCTGCTGCGCCCAATCCCTCCCAGCATCAGGGTCTTTTCCAATGAGTTAACTCTTTGTATGAGGTGGCCAAGGTATTGGAGTTTCAGCTTCAACATCAGTCCTTCCAATGAACACCCAGAATTGATCTCCTTTAGGATGGACTGGATGGATCTCCTTGTAGTCCAAGGGACTCTCAAAAGTCTTCTCCAACACCACAGTTCAAAAGCATCAATTTTTCGGCGCTCAGCTTTCTTCACAGTCCAACTCTCACATCCATACATGACCACTGGAAAAACCATAGCCTTGACCAGATGGACCTTTGTTGGCAAAGTAATGTCTCTGCTTTTTAATATGCTATCTAGGTTGGTCATAACTTTCCTTCCAAGGAGTAAGTGTCTTTTAATTTCATGGCTGCAGTCACCATCTGTAGTGATCCTGGAGCCCAAAAAAATAAAGTCTGACACTGTTTCCACTGTCTCCCCATCTATTTCCCATGAAGTAATGGGACCAGATGCCATGATCTTGGTTTTCTGAATGTTGAGCTTTAAGCCAACTTTTTCATTCTCCTCTTTCACTTTCATCAAGAGGCTTTTTAGTTCCTCTTCACTTTCTGCCATAAGGGTGGTGTCATCTGCATATCTGAGGTTATTGATATTTCTCCTGGCAATCTTGATTCCAGCTTGTGCTTCTTCCAGCCCAGCGTTTCTCATGATGTACTCTGCATGTAAGTTAAATAAGCAGGGTGACAATATACAGCCTTGACGTACTCCTTTTCCTATTTGGAACCAGTCTATTGTTCCATGTCCAGTTCTAAATGTTGCTTCCTGACCTTCATGTAGGTTTCTCAAGAGGCAAGTCAGGTGGTCTGGTATTCCCATCTCTTTCAGAATTTTCCAGTTTATTGTGATCCACACAGTCAAAGGCTTTGGCAGAGTCAATAAAGCAGAAATAGATCAAAATTCTCCAAGCCAGGCTTCAGCAATACGTGAACTGTGAACTTCCAGATGTTCAAGCTGGTTTTACAAAAGGCAGAGGAACGAGAGATCAAATTGCCAACATCCGCTTGATCATCGAAAAAGCAAGAGAGTTCCAGAAAAACATCTCTGACCCTAGGGAAGCCCTATTCCTGGATCTGAGATTTATGTGTTTTATTGTATAAAATCAACCTTCTGTGTATATTTGAGCAGAGGATCCTTTTATAGACTTGTTGCCTTTAGCATTTTTTGGTTATGGCTACCTGCAGTTGTTTTGTTGGGAGTGTTCTCATGATTCTATTGCCACATAACAAACCACCTCAAGATTTAGTGACTTGAAATAACAATATATCATTGTTCCATGGGTTGACTGGGCTCAGTTGGGAAGTTTTCACTTAGGATCTCTCAGCTGGTTGCAATCAGTCTTCTAGGGCCAGGGTGGGCTTCATGGCTGGGGCCTGTGGAGTCACACAAAGCACCATTCTTAGAAGGGCCTCATCCTTGGTTCTATATCCTGCTGTTGCTATCTTGATTCTTGTAGTATTTTTTGAACAGGGAGTCCAGAATTTTCATTTTGCACAGGGCCTTACAAATTATGGAGCTGGCCCTGGCTGAGGCTACAGTCATCTAAAGACTTGACTAGGCTGGATGTCCAAGATTCCTCACTCACAAGGCTGCTAGCTGAGGCTGGCTGTCGACTGGGAGTTCCACTGAGCCTGCCACCAGAAACACCCACACATGACTTCTCTGTGTGGCTTGAATTTCTCAGAGACAGTATCTCAAGAGTGAGGGATCCAAGACGTCCAAGAATCCGAAATCCTTCTTATGACTCGGCCTTGGAAAATCAGAATATCACTTGCAACACATTCGGTTGGTCAAGTAATTCATGAAGACCAGCCTAGGCTCAAGGGCAAGTGCAACGGACTCCACCTCTTGATGGAGAGTTGCAAGATCACATTGCAGTAGAGAACATGGGATGAGACACTGTTTCGTTCATCTTTGGAAAAAACACTCTGCCACACGACTATCTGGGGCATGCCATTGCTTTGCCTTGAGTGCTCTGCCTCTTTCAGCTTTCTCTGAAAGCTCTGCCTTATTGGTAGGCATTCATGATCAAGTGTGGCTAGACAGGACGGTTTCAGGGTATCAGCCTTGTTTTTTGGTGTCTAATATGATTAAAACAGGACTTGCTAAAAACCTCTTCAAACCAAGTATGTGCCTAAGGGATGAGAGGTGTGCTTAAGGGGGTTCTGATCTTGAGATGGGGTAGAGGCTTCTAGGAGGAACTACTTTTTGAGGTTTTGCCACAGTTCATGTTGAGTAAATATACTGAGCTTTCCTAGATTACATTGCTAAATTTTGCAGCTTTCAAATCCAAGGTCTTATGGTGGAGATGAAAGAAAAGAAGGTGCAGTGTTTGATACTCCTTGGACAGATCCCAGTTCCATCACTTAGTAGGTAGGGAAAACTGACAGCTTCAGTTTCTCTGTAAAGTAAGGCTAATGATACTCCCTTGGGCTTTGCTGGTGGCTCAGTGGTAAAGAATCCACATGCCAACACAGGAGACATGGGTTCAATCCCTGGGTCGGGAAGATCTCCTGGAGAAGGAAATGGCAAGCCACTCCAGTATTCTTGCCTGGAAAATTCCATGGACAGAGGAGCCTGGTGGGCTATAGTCCATGGGGTTGCAAAAGAGCTGGACATGACTTAGCGAATCAACACAACAATGATACTCCGTTAGGGGCTACTGTGAGGATGAAGTCGGATAATTTAATAGGTGCTCAAATAGTTACCATTATCATTAAGTGTATCATTTGTCTTTGATTTAGGTTATTACCTTTTGGTAATAACTTTTTAGTAATTTACCTAAACAAACTCATGGTTTAGTTGTTAGACCTACCTAGATTCTTTAGGGCAACTTAACTGCTGTAGACTTCATGTGGACACCCCAAGAGTAGCCTGGCCCTGCAGCCCCTGTGCTAGAGGTGCTGGTTTCCACCTTGCAATGTTGAGGGCTGACAAACCTAGTAGTAGTGGTAATTAACATTTAGTGAGAGAGGAACTTAAATGTGTTAGGGGCTTTTAATTCTCGATCAACCCTCTGACTACTGTTTTATTTCTGATATTACAGGTGAAGAAATAGGTTGGTGAGAATAAGCAACTTGTGCAAAATCATCAAGAAGGTAAATAAGAGGGCCAGGATCAAAACAGAGGTCTCTCTAGACCCAGGGCCTGTGTTTCATCATTATGTTATATGGTCTCCCAGATGGATTAAAGTATTCACATATTTGAATCCTTTTTATGTGACCCGAGATCTCAGGCTCTTGTTTACTGAGTGATCTGGGAGCTTAAGACCCTAATATTTTACTGTGAAGTCTGGTTGTAAGACCTTGTTGGAGAAGAGTTCCTAAAAGCATCCAATTTTAGGCTGTTGGTATAAATTTCCCTGGAGGATTATCTTGTGGTGGGCCAATCCCTCGGTTTTGTGGCTGGGTAGATTCCAGCAAGGCCTCTCATCTGACATTTGGCATTTTTCCTGGCAGGCAGCCAAGAGGACTGAGTATTTCTCTGTTTTATTTTACTTTCTTAACCATTTCCTCTCAAAATAAACAAAAAAAGAACTCATGGATTTCACTAGTGGAAATGCATCTTTAAAAAGCTGTTTGCGAGGGACATTTTATAGCTGGAGGAGAAAGGGGGTAAAAGGTGATTGAGGGAAAGGAGGAAACAGAGCCCTTAAAATTATTAACAGAATCCAGAATTCCCTTGGGCTAGAAATGTTCTAATTTTAAGAACTGTTTAAATTCCTCAAAAGATATGTATTCTGTAAGTATAAATATATGGCCAGGCAACTCTTAATGAGCTATGGAGAATCCTTAAGGCTATTATTTATTGTGCTGTGTCCCTAGGGCTTTCCATGTGGCTCAGCAGTAAAGACTCAGCCTGCCAGTGCAAAATGCAGGAGACGCAGTTTCCATCCCTGGGTCGGGAAGATCTCTTGGAGGAAGAAATGGCAATCCACTCCAGTATTCTCGCCTTCTCCCATGGACAGAGGAACCTAGCTGGCTGCAGTCCATAGGGTCACAAAGAGTGGGACACGACTGAGTGACTGAGCATGCACTCACATTGTGTCCCCAACATTTCCCTTGAGCAAATGTTTACAATGCATTTTCTTTGCTAACATTTAATTTGCAAACTTGATAAAAATGAGCAGAATTGGCTTAAGTTTGAATGCATTCTCTTCTTTCTTCCTCTCATTTAGAAAGGTGCTAGTCACTACTAGTGAAATGATTATTTGGCTTCAGTGACCCTCCCCAATAAAAAATTTTTTTCATCTCTGATATACTTTACTTTTTTTTTTAATTGGACTTAACTACATGTCTTGCTTTAAGAGTTTAACAAGTGTTAGCTTATTGAATCCTCACAATCCTAAGAGATCTCTACCAATTTGTTGTTGTTGTTCAGGTGATAAGTCATGTCCAACTCTTTGCGACCCCATGAACTGCAGCACACCAGGCTTCCCTGTCCTTTACTATCTCCCTGAGTTTGCTCAAACTCATTTCCATTTAGTCGGTGATGCCATCCAACCATCTCATCCTCTGTTACCCCTTTCTCCTCCTGCCCTCAATCTTTTCCAGCATTAGGGTCTTTTCCAATGAGTCGGCTCTTCAAATCAGGTGACCAAAGTATTAGAGTTCCAGCTTCAGTATCACTCCTTTCAATGAATATACAGGATTGATTTCCTTTAGGATTGACTGGTTTGATTTCCTTGCATTCCAAGGGACTCTCAAGAGTCTTCTCCAACACAATTCAAAATCATCAATTCTTTGGCACTCAGCCTTCTTTATGGTCCAACTCTGACCTTCATACATAACTACTGGAAAAACCATAGCTTTGACCATACAGATCTTTGTCGGCAAAGTGATGTCTCAGCTTTTCAATTGTCTAGGTTTGTCATATTTTCCTTCCAAGGAGCAAGTGTTTTTTAATTTCATGGCTGCAGTCACTGTCTGCAGTGATTTTGGAGTCCAAGAAAATAAAATCTGCCACCATTTCCACTTTTTCCCCATCTTTTTGCCATGAAATGATGGGACAGGATGCCATGATCTTAGTTTTTTGAATGTTGAGTTTTAAACCAGCTTTTTCACTCTCTTTCACCTTCATCAAGAGGCTCTTTAGTTCCTCTTTTCTTTCTGCCATTAGAGTGGTATCATCTGCATATCTGACGTTGTTGATATTTTTCCCAACAATCTGATTCCAGCTCGGGATTCATCCAGCCCGACATTTCCCATGATGTACTCTGCATAAAGTTAAATAAGCAGGTAACAATATACAACCCTGATATACTTCTTTCCCAATTTTGAACCATCCCATTGCTCCGTGTCTGGTTCTAATTGTTGCTTCTTGGCCTGCATATAGGTTTCTCAGGAGACAGGTAAGGTGGTCTGGTATTCCTATCTCTTTAAGAATTTTCCACAGAAATCTGTAACAATTATACCCCTGTTTAACAGATAAGAAACCCAAGGCTTTGAGAGGTTAAGAACCTGCCCCAGGTCCCAAGGCTCCTCAGTGGGGTGATGGCTTGATGAGAGGACCTTTCTTTGCACAGTCAGGATTAAGACCAGGCTCTGCCACCTCCCAACATGACCGGTCAATCCACAATTGCTTATAATGCTTATAATATGCCTGAAGTTCTCACAGTATTTTAACCAATCCCAGTGAAATCTGACATTATTCCCATGAGAAATTAAGTGCATTCCAGTTCCTAATGGACTTTCTATCTTCCTTCCTTAAATAGGCTAATGGTTCCTGGACTTTTGTTCCTGTAGAGGTTGGAAAGGGTTCTATTTAATCATTTCTCACTTGACAGACACTCACACATAGGCTATACAACATAGGTTAAGAGTGTGGACATTGGAACCATTGGAATTTTTTTAAAAAATTATTTATTTATTATTTTTGACTGCACTGGGTCTTCATTGCTCTTGTGGATTTTCTCTGGTTGTGGTGCTCAGGCTTAATTGCTCTAGCATGTGGAATCTTCCTAGACCAGGGATTGAACCCGTGTGCTCTGCACTGGCAGGCGGGTTCTTTACCACTGGACCACCAGTGAAGTCCTGGAACCATTGGACTTTATTTGAATGTTGGTTTTGTCATTTACTTGCTCAAGGTCACACAGTTTGTCATTGACTCTTTCTGTGTCTCTGGTGCCTTACATAAATTGTGTTAATGATAACACTGACCTCACAGTTATTATGAATTTTAAATGAGTTAATCTACATTAAAATACTAGCACTGTGCCCGGTACATAGTAAATGCTCAATAAGCATGATGTTTTGTTGAATAGCTATTTAGGAAATAAAAGTATGCTAGGCACTGGAAATAAAAAGACTTGAAATCTAGTGGGAAATACAGGGCACATTCCTTTAATAGATCCATTCAAGGGTTAAGCATCAGGCATAAGAGCTAAACAAAACACTCTTACCGCAAATATTTACAAATTATTAGAAGAGGTAAATAGACAAGTAATGACAATTCAGTGTAACAAGTACTGCAAATAGAGTAGAAATGAGTTATCAGAGCACAAGAGAGGGCAAGGGGGCATGACATTTGAGCACTGCAGGAAGCTTCTTACAGGAAGTAAACTCAAGGTAGGACCTGGTAAATGAGAAGGAATTTGCCACATATTACTGGAAAAAGGTGTGAATTGTAAGGTACATAAAGGGCATGGAGCATGTGCATAGGATAGAATGAGTAGTCTTATATGGCTTAAGGAATATGGTGCATGTGGTAGGAGGCAGGAAGGTGAGGAGGCTAGAAAGAAGATACATCAGGTTATTAAAGACCTTCAGTGTTTTGCTGAGGATCTGGGACTTTACCCTGTAAGTAATAGGGAGCCATGAAAAGCTGCTGAGTCTAGGAGGAACATGACCAGATAATCCAAACCTGATGAGATTTGAAGTCAGGGTCACAGTGATACACCTAGAGAGAAATAAAGGCCTCACTGGAGTGTTGGCCATGGGCATGGAGGAAAAGAGATATTTGAGAATTGTTAGAATGTGATGAATGATTAGAACAGAATGGAAGGGCAGAATATCCTACAATGCCATCAAAAGAGACATATGTCTAGCTATGATTGGTACTTAGTTGGAAAAGCCTGAGGAGTACAGGTGGCATAATGGAAGGAATTTAGTCTCTACCATTTGTTGGTTTCATGTTTAGTGTAGATAACCTCAAAGTTTGTTATATAATAACATAAGCATGTAAAGCACCTAGTATGGTGCCTGACACGCAGTAAGCATGATTGCTGTATTCTGGGATCAGAAAATAAGAAACAGACAGAGGTTCATGCCAGACAGCAGGGGTCCTTTGTCTTTTGAATGCCTTAGAAACTTTTCATTTAAATGAAAACTTCCGTGGTGGTCCAGTGCTTAAGAACCCACTTTCCAATGCAGGGAACGCATGTTCGATCCCTGGATGGGGAACTAAGATCCCACATGCCATGGAGCAAATAAGCCTGAGAGCTGCAACTACGGAGCACATGCACTCTAGCACTCATGTGCCACAACTAGAGAGCCCCCACACCACAGTGAAGATCTGGCATGCTGAAACTAACACCCAATGCAGTAAAAAATAAACAAACAGTATTTTTAAAAATTGTTATTGAGATACCATCAATTCACTCATTTAAAGCTCATAATTTA